CAGCAGTGGCTGCGGGCGGCTCAGCGCCTCGAGCAGAAGCTGAAGGGCCGGCAAAGGGACCAGAAACACGTACGGGCAAATTGCACAGGGGGGTCGTGGTGGGGAGACGGAAAAGCTGAGCCCTTGAGGACGGGGAGCAGAGACAGCTGGGATGTGAGCGGGCTGGCAGCAAAATTCATTTATGGAAGGACGTGGGTGTGTGGGCTTGGTCTGTGGACGTGACGCTGCATGTGTTTAGGACATTGCAGGGCTGGTGTTGCTGAATGATGGGGTGAATTTTGGAGACAGGTCCTGGTGGGTGGGAAGCAGCATCCAGCCGGCAGACGGCTTGTTGGCAGCAGTCAGGGAGGTTGGCACGTCTCCTCCATGGAGGTGCTGAGGTTGCTGTCCTTCCTGTTCACGTTTTTGCAGTGATCCCTGTGTGCTGGGAGATCTGGCTCTGGTCCATGGGATGGACCACGAAGTACATCAGGAACGTGAACCTGGTCCCAGGGTACAGAGCACCAGTGGATGGGTGCTGGCAGCCTTGGACTGTTAGGTCTTTGCTAGTTGAACAAAGATCACTTGGCTTTACACCCGAGTGATTCCCCTGGGTAATTACATCCTGCAAAAGGAGCTGGAGGGAGTCAGGGACCATAAGTCATTTTGGGTTGGAAAACCCAAATTATCCCTTTCCCCCAGCACCACCCATCTCAGCGCTGACCCATCTTCTTGTCTTTCCAGATCCTGATCCATATCGGCTTCCTGACAGAGGAGTCAGGGGATGTTTTCAGTCCACGGGTGCTGAAGGGGGGACCGCTGGGCGAGATGGTGCAGTGGGCTGACATCCTGGCTGCCCTCTTCCTCCTGGGACACAGCCTGAGGGTCACGGTCTCCCTGAAGGAGCTGCAAAGGTGGGTGCTGTGGGTGCTCAGTACCCCCCCGAGAGGGTCTACCTGCCGTGTGCGTGGGTTGCATCGAGGTTTTGCGTGAACGCAAAGATCTGCAAAGGCTTGGGGATGACTTTTCCCCCCACTTTCATCTCAGGCAGCGCTGGTGCTGTGCTGGTGCAAGTGTTGGGTGGGTGCAGACCACCAGCATCATGGCTGGGAGCGATCCCACCCTTTCTGCACCCCAGGAAGGTGAAGAGGGCTGGTGCAAACTATGGCTTTGCAGCAGGGCTTTGCGTGGGGCTGATGTGGAGATGCGTGGGGCAGGGCTCTGCCCTGTGGTCCTGGTGCTGGATCTGAGCAGCATTAGTCCCTTGCTGTCAGCACACAGCACCACCTGTGTCCCCTGACACCTGCCTGGGGCTGGGTGTGGGAAAGGCTCCCTTTTACCCCCTGTTGTTCCCCAGGGATGCTCTGTGGGGCTGATGGCCATGCGGCTGCAGGATGCAGGTGTCGTGCAGGTCACAGGCTCGTCCGACTGTGCACGGCTGTGCTCAACCCCTGTGGCTTCGCCTGCGTTGTTTGACCAGTGACTATTCTCCCTTCCTTCCTTCCCTCCCTCCCTTCCTGCTCTGCAGCGAGGCAGGCAGCTGGGGCAGCTGCCCAAAATAACCTGTGTCCCTTACAGGGGGGTGGCAGCCACCAATGAGTCCCTCCTCAGGAGGTGCTGGTGGTGGCTTTGAGACCTCTGGCTTGGACAGGCTTTTTCTGCTGTGGGTTATGGGGCTGTGCAGGGTGAGAGCGTGCAAATAGCTACACCAGGTCACCCTACAAGCATGTCGAGGCAGCGCTCTGGCTCCTAGAGGGACCAGGATTTGATGGAAAAAGTAAGAGGGAGAAGGTGGCGGTGTGCTGTGTTCCTCTCTGCTGATGCACTTCTGTTATTACTGGGCTGCCACTGCTGCCACCTGTAACCTCTCAAGGTTTCTACACCTCCTATGGGACAGCTCGAGTTGGAGGGCAAGTGCTGGGGAAAATGGGAATTGGGATGGGTTATAAATCGAGAAAAGCCTGAAGCTGCCTCAGAGACTGGGCAGGTTTTGGGTGATGCTAAGCCAGCATCAGCCACATAGCGAGCCATGCTGAAGAGGGAGTGAAAAAAACCAACAATCCTCAAAAAAAACCCCAAAACAAAACAAAAACCAACCAAACCCAACTCAGCCCCTGCGGCATTCAGAATTAATGAACGGAATTAGCTCCTGACTAATTAACTCAAAAAAGTAATCCTGGTCCTAATGTAAAAGGCAGCAGCATCTCAAAGAGGCAGGCGTGCATCATGGGGATCTCTGCATAGTGTGCTGAGCTAAGCTGATGGGCTAAATAATATCTGTGTACTTAAGGATGAAAGAGGTTAATGGCTGGGAGGGTTGTGGTGATGTTGTGTAGTTCTTGTTTGTGTTTCTTAATGAGGAGCCTCATGGTGGTCATTCAACGAGGGGAAGGAGCTGGCTGAGTCTTACTGGGGATTTTGCAGCATCCGTTTCCCTCTGTGAATACCTGGAGAGCTGTGTTGCTACATGTACTATTTCCCCTTTCTTGGAAGCTGAGGAGCTTTGGCATCGATTGGCAGTGATGAGATCTCCTCTTCTGACAGGGATTTGGGTGGGTCCTCTGGGATGCCTGGGAATAGCAGCTCCAACTCTTCCCCTTCATAGCTGTGATGGGGAGCAAGCGAGCCGGGCTAGGGCTGCATGTCTTGCATCTCTTTCTGTCCCAGTGGTAGAAACCATCCCCACCTCCCTGAGCGTGTGTCCTGTGCCTGGCTTTGATGATATTTTAAGTGCTGGACACCCATGTTGTGGGTCCACCTCCATGTGATGGGGCTGGGGCAAGCAAAGGCAGGACCTGGGGCTGTAGCCAGGTCCTCCTTGTCCCTTTGGAGACCGCGTCCAGTGTTCGCTGGGACCCTCCTGCTGCCCATCAAGACATGGGTTAACATGGGTGTTGGAGGGGGGGTGGAGGTCCACCCCGAGGGGAGGTACATGTGGTGCAGACAATCCTGCTTGTGCTTGTAGATCTCAGTGGGGGCTGGGGCGGTGTTAGCAGTGGGAGATAAGCCTTTGCCTTATCACGAGCAAGCGGGAGGCTTAGCAGAACACATGTAATTAATCATGAGTTGGGCTAATAGCTAATCTCTGGAACTTCGTGAAAGCCTGGAGGAGACTTTGCCTGGAGCCGCAGCTTTGGGCTGGGGGTTGGTGGGCAGACAGCTGGGGGATGTGCAAAGGGCTGGGGCTGGGATGAGACTAAGCTGAAGCCATGTCCCCGTGGAAGGTCCAGCCAAAGTGATTGCTTATCCCTCCTGCTCCCATGTAACCTCCTGAAGCAGCAAAGCTTGGCTCTGCTGGGGCTCAACTTGTCCTCTCCCATCCTGAGGATCTCTTGCTGAGCTTGCAGTGGGGCAGGCACCAGTGTTGGGATGGGTTTGGAGATGTTTTTCTCCAGCAATGTGAAATGTTGAGTCCACTTCTCATTTACTTTTCTTTGGCACCCCCTGCTCCTTCCACAGGTCAGAGCTGTAGCTGCTCCTGCCCAGCACGGCCTTCACAGAGCAAAGGCTGGTGCCCATCAATTATTCAGCATGAAATAACCTCTCTCCTGGTTTGTTTTTTGACTCTTCAAATTTCTGAGCTGGTTTTTCTGCACATTATTGATCATTGGCAAGGGATCACTGGAAGGTCTGCATGCTGGTAGTTATCTGAGAGCTGTTCATTATTAGCATCTCGATTGATTGCAATGCAGCAGTGCACGGAGGTGGTGGTCAGGATTGGGTCTGAAATGCTGGGGATCAGGCAGATGAGGAGGAAAAGTAAGTCCCTGGTTCAAAAAGCTGGTGATGGAGGGCTGGGCGTGAACACATGTCAGCAGCAGGGGAGAGGAGGAGAGCAGCAGATGCCAAGCAGTGAACAGCAGGGGTGTCAGACGGGTCTTTCCCCAGTTTGGGGGACCAGTGCTAATCTGGAACAAAGCCAGGGAGCTCTGGGGATCTGCAGGCTTGCTCCATGACCGGGCACTGTCCAAGTGTCCCTGTGAGGTCTGAGATTGGTGCTACTGAGCTCAGCCCTGCTTTTCCAGGACTAGCTTATCTAGCTTTTGCCCACTGGAGACCTTAAAGACCCGTGAATTCCACTGCTGTGTCCTACCAGAGGCTGATTTTTCTCCTGTAGCCAAACTGAGTGCAGGTGTTTGTCCTCTTCTGCATTTCCCCATGAATACGTGAGCTTCTTCTGATGTGTCTTGAGAGGCAAGGGGTGAAACCCAGGATTATCTGGGGGCTGGTGCAAAGCATCGCTGGGCATGTGCAGCTCCCTGGGAGGAAAGGAAAGTGTCCAGCTGGAGCAGGGAGTCAGGAGCTGTTTTCCATCAGATCTTTGTTCTGGGTGGGTAGGGGCAGTGGAGGGAGCTGGCAGCTGCCAAACTGGAAGAGGAGAGATTTAGATGAGATC